CTTTTTCAAGACACTAACTTTTTTATTTTCCAACCTATATACCCCAAATTTTGCAGTCATATTGTGCCAGGGGTTCTTAGTAATAATAATGTAACAGGTCCTTCAACTTGGATTATATTTGATCTAAAAGAGGAGTTCAATTGGTCCGCCACCCTCTTTGATGAGAGCTTTTAGTCTTGGTTGCCTTGCTAATATAGCAGTATCAGTGAAATGTTGGCTAAGTTTCTTTCAACCTGTCTTAATTGCCAGCTTTAGTTGGGTAATTTTTTAGATTGGGTGGGTTCATACCATCTCTTGGAAACCTTCCAATACCCTATACTCACTGGGGATTGCATCAGGACTATTAGCTTGGTGGTCATTAGTCAGCTCAGAAACATTTTGAAAGTTTTGTTTATTTCTCATGGCATGAGATGTGTAAGTGAGGCGCTGGTGACATATTTTGTTTAAGTAAAAGTGTACAATTCATAATCCATGGCAAGATAGCATCCTCAAGTTTCATTCAGTATGCAAATTATGATTTTATATCCAAAGTTAAAAAAGTTATAGCATTTTTAAAAAAGTGGCGTTTTTTGGCCCACCCTGTATACACTTTTCTCTATATTGTTTTAGAAAACACATCAGACACCTCTCTCGTTCTTGGTATCATATGTTCGGAATGAAATGAAACATCTATCCGAACCTCATTGGAACAAAACGACATAAACACAATGTGTTTAGGTCTCTCAATATTGTAATTGTACAAAGGAAAGTTTGGTTGATTTTAAAAAAGTATCTTGTTAATGAAATAAAAGGGTTATCTTAAGTTTTATCTATTTTGGGGGGTTTTGTTTTAAGTTTCTGAATACTTTTTGTTAATTCAACCAAAATTTCCTTTGTATAACTGTAATATTGAGAGGTCTAAGAAAACGTTGTTTATGCTATAAAATGTTAACAAAAACAGTTATATAAAATATATATAAATAATTTTTGCATTAAATTGTTGCCAATCAGTCAAAATTACTAAAAGGACCGTGTTTTTTTACAGAATGTTTTCAATAATTGGTTTAAGAGAAAAACATTGTTGAATTCAGTTCACCATATCGATACCTATCCTTTTATATGCTGATGCCTAGGTTCAAGGTGGCATCTGGATTTCAAAATGGCTGCCATTTTTCGTAAAAAACGTAATCTTTGATAACTCAAATACCAGTGGACGGATTTGGTTCAATTCCATATGCTGATGCCAAGAGACACAGGAGCTCTGGTCGAGAAGGGATTTTCAAGATGGCAGCTGGATTTCAAAATGGCCGCCATACTTTGTAACAGAACGTAATCTTTGATAACTGAAATACCAGTTGACGGATTTGGTTCAAATTTTATATGCTGATGCCTAGAGACAAAGGAGCTCTGCTCAAGAAAACATTTCAGGATGGCAGCGGAATTTCAAAATGGCCACCAATTTTCTTAACGTTATGTTTAGTAACTCAAATACCAGTGGACGGATTTGGTTATAATTTTATATGCTGATACCTAGGGACAAAGGAGCTCTGTTCAACACGAAGATGTTCAAGATGACCGCTATTCATCAAAACATGTTTTGTTCGGTGGGATTTACTACTCCGTGGAGTTGCTGCTTTCTAGTGTTGTTGATTAAGGTGTTTTAGCATTAGTACGTTATGATGTTTTGACACCACTAAAAAGCATTTGCCGAATGTAACCTTTTCTAAAATCTTAGATGTAGTTTTCTGATAATTTTGTATATTTTGATTTGATGGTTAAGCTATGTTGTATCTCTTCTCAATAACGGGTAAAAGTGAGCTCGATACTTTGTTTTTATTTTTGCAAGATTGTTATCAGAAGTCCATTAAATTGGTATGTAGTATTTCCTCTGGATGAGGATTGTCTGGTGTCGTCTATCCTCTGTTAAGGGGGGGGGGGTTGAGGAGGTTCAATGATCCAGATTCCTCGTTTTTCATGGCCTGTGTATTGACACCCCATCCCAATCCCATTAGAGGTCCACAGTATAACTATAACTAACGGTAAAGCCATCCTTCAAGTCAAAATAATAAAAAATTGTCATTCAAGCTCCGAAGAAAATATTTTGAAAAAACATATCGATTTCCTGACAATTCTAGGGCCTAATCAATTGGGAAGTTATTTAAGATTTAATAAGCAGACATTTCCAGATTCATTAGAATTGAATAAGGTCCCTTTATTCACTTTTTGCCAGATGACCTTACATGCCTTACAAATCGACAAATTATTCTAAAATGAAGTCAGAATATTGTGACAATTCTTTCGAAACTAGCTCTCAACTCGATCGTGTCTACTTCCTCTCATGATTTTGTTAAGCGTTCGGAAATAAAATGAGCTGCTGTATCATTCTTGCACCAAATGGACACCAGGCTACAGACATCAGGTATGGGTCAAGTAAGAATATGATGTTTATAAAATCACAATGTTAGTCATACTGGATTATAGGCGAAATAAGTATGGCTGGCCATTTTGATTCATCTCCTATTAGTTGATGGATTTTATGAGAGATTTGAACGCATATGGTGGGCATCTTAGAGTTACCAATTGATTTTCTGGAATTTTCTAAAATTGTACATGGTGACCCAACACCCAGTGTTGTATATGACAGAGTGTTCAATGAACAAAACAGAAGTATCCTTATATTGCATCAAGTTTTTGAGATTCAGAGACACGTTTTTCGTTCAGGATTGCTCTCACGCCAAATCAATCAAAACAACGTTTAGAAATCTATATTTGCGAGTGTCCTCCAAATGATCAAGATTTCTAAATATGTACAAAGTGCGTTAATAGGATGTATCATTAATACTAACAATGAAAGCAATCCAGAAATGACTCAAATTATGACACAGATAAGATTTGGTGCGGATTCTAAATCTCAAAATCGATGCAATAATTACATGACTGTTTTACGTCATCGAGCACGTGTCAATCTTAACGAGAAAATTCCCAATGAAAATATATTCGAAAATTAGAGGGTCGCGCTTTTTGGTGACCCTGTATTTCCAGTAAAGTCAATTAATGTAACGTAAGTATTGTTTGTTTCAATTTTGCGGGTTTCATTTGATTATCTAAATGATTAATGAAACATTTATACAGGGATTGGTTTTTTATTTATCGATATTTACTAAATGCCATCACTTCTCAGATAAGTGATCCGAAATTAATGCACATTTGTTTACCAAATAATAAGGAAAAAGAAATAGATTTGATTGAGAATGCTATGTTTTAAAAGTACAACATTAATCACATCCTTTTATGGATGGATTCTTCTTAAATGCTGTCTAGAACCATCATTGCCAAATGATAGCATAAATTAAGCAACAAAATACAAGCGTTTATGAATTGTAAGGCATTTTATTTGCCTATAAATATAGTTACATTTTTGTACAATTGTTATTTATTTCATTAAGTTATTTATTCATTTAAGGTCTGGTGACTTGGTGTTGGACAATAATTACAGAGAGATTCTTCCGCCACCCAGACCTTTCACTTAACTATAAATAGTGCGCTGGAACTATTTTACAGAGACGTATATTAAAAGCAGGAGAGGGAGTATATTTATATCATATTTTCCTAAAAATGATAACATTACAAGACAGAAATGTACATATATATATATAATATCTCAATCTTGTCAGACATACTGCAGGAGTTAAAATATTAAAATACTTGATAGATGAATAACTTAGGAGATTTTTCTAACTACAATGAATATGTATATAAACTACAATTTTAAATTGATAAAATTTTGTTTCATAACTACATCTATTCTACAGTGGATGATCTCCTAAATGTGAATTTAAATAATAAGTTAATATAGCATAAAGTTGTTCCCTCAATGGCCCACATTTCACATAATATGAAAGAACGATTGCCCTACTAATTTACCCCCTCTGAGGTTCAACTAAATGTCATGACATTTCCCTTTATAGCTGCAAAATGCGGGCCAAAAGCTATCTTTGAAGCTGTTTTAAGGTCACAAGTAAGTCCTATACATTATATCTGTATCCATGCTTACATACATTCTCTTCTTGTGTCCCTCTATATACATGTAGTAATACTTATATTTAAATTCTTATTATTTACTCCTTACTATATCTATAACGGTGTAAGAATCTACGTTTTTACATGTGTTTATTTTACAGGTTAATGAAATATGTTGGTGTGTCAGTCTGTATTCATGACGTAACTGTCTACTGAGCTATCTATGATTCCAACTGGTAAGTAGTATCTGAACAACTGACTAGACCTAGAATGCTGTCTCTTAAAACTAAAATTCGAGCATTTTTGGTAAAATAACTTTCTAAAACATGTTAGCTCTAAGATCCTTCACTGATCATTTGTGTTGGAATCGTGGCGGATTTTCAGCTGTTTCTAGGTTTATTGTATACACATGGACGATAATAGAAAGGGCCATTCAAATACGAAAAATTTTGCTCAAATATAAAATCAAGTACAAAATGTGGCTAAAAATCTGCCATTTCTTGACTGGTACAGTCTATGAAAGTTCTCTAAGCTTTGATTTATCATCCATGGTCACAGAAGCATCCACTGTTTCTGGGCATACCTTCTCTCAGCGTTCACAACAACACGGGAACCTTGGCCCCTCCAGACATAGATTTCTTAATTAATTAAATAATAAACTGATTGTCAAACACTCTCTACTGGTCGCCTTGGTAACAATTCACGTAACCACTTGGGAACCAGTAGGATAACAGGAACATATTAAATTAATAAGAAGTATAACAATGTGTTCATAATATATAAAAGTTCGTTGTTCTATATTCATCCTTTCCGTTGACTACCTGAAGTCGTGAAATACCCAATGTTGGCTCTTTGCATAGTAGAGATCACATTTAAGTGTCGTCTGCAGGCGTCTGACGTCTGTACAGAAGCTACCTGACATTATGTACAACTAGTGGCCCGGGCAGCTTATCTAATACTGCCCTTCTATATATATTTTGATTTGTCCTATAGGGCATGTATTATTGTAGCCGCTCTTGGAGCTGCTGTGGTTGATATAGAGCGGCGGCAGCTGCTGACCCCGCAGATAGAGGTTGTGGGATGCCGTATGTGTAAGCAGCTTGAGCGGCTGCTGCATAACCCTGAGCTGCGAATGGGTACCCGGCGGCCGCCTCTGCATACTGGTTAGCGACCTGGTTGGCATATGTGGTATAGTCGAAGTAGCCTGCCCCTGTTGTTGGTGATAGTGGCGATTGTGATAGACCAGCTGGCATTACACCGCCCGTAGTAGGTGATGCTGCTACCAACGCACTGGGGTAGATGTACTGCGGCACACTGGAAGCAAATAGATAGCCAAGGTGAGAGGAAGCAAAACACCCAAAATACCAAGATATAATCGTGCTCTTTGTATCAGTGGAGACTTCTCAAACTTCACAAAACAGGTTAGATATACAACAAACTAAAAGAAATAAAAACAACACCGCTATCCTAAACTTAGTGTGATGCATATATATTTTGAAAACATGGAAACAGACAATCAGACTTTAACATACTTGTCCAAGCGTCTGGTCGTCAGGAAATTGCTTGTTACTGGTTTATATTTAAAATTTGGTGAATATAATGAATGTAGAAATGTTGTTCCTATTTTGTATTTTGAGAAGTTCCCTGATCTAAAGGCGCAGATGTTTCACGTATGATAAGTGTGTGCAACTGTTGAGTAGGGTTACTCAGCCCCTCTTATAATCACTGTCCCTCTGAACACTGGCCCCTACTGTAGAAATTGAGAATTAGACATGGGGACATATGTGCATCACACCTAGGGTTGGATAGCTCTCTAACCACGTGTCTATCAAACGGGTCGTCACGATGGCTCTTGACCCAAGCATTGATAGGCAGCTCTAACCGACCTACTTTAATAAGATTTGCTTCAGAATAGAGTTGCTACCCTCGTTACTACGGCAACAAGCTATAGAACCACTCTCATGCCAAAACCATAAAACTCGGAAAGAAGCCAAGATAGCTATTATCGTAGAAAACAAGGCACTCATCTCAAAGATAATATATCATGCAAACCAAATTCTTCTAACAATTTTTCTGGCTACTTTAATCATCTCTGGAATACTACAAATATTATTTTAAGAGAGAATGGTTATATTAAATTTAAAATGAAAACTAATTTTACTATTACTGATGACGTATAATTTAGATAATTTTGTTAAATTGAGGTTCAAATAGTTTTGGTTTTGGTTTCAAATCAACCACAGCAATTTATTAAACCACACTGAGCGATTCAACCCCAGAGTGTTGCTTTAATACAAGGTCAAGGTCATTGGTTATTACATCTTTCTGCCATCTACTCCAGGTTAGGTTTTATATAAAATGTATATACAACACAGACTAGCACTGTATTTGGGTTACGTTGACACAATGGTATAAATTTGATTAATGTTATATCAATGCTATCATATTATATTATTAAATATTGATTTTGTAGGTGTGGAAACCTGAAATATTATCGCCGGGTGGTAAGTCACGTTTGGAGAAATCTTAACATACACTCAGAGGGAAAAACAGTCGGAGACTTCTAAAGAGAGATAATGCTTAACGTCTACGTAAAATAAGATCCCCCAAAGGATTTTAGAAATGGTTCAGTAACACAAAGCTGTGACTATATAGACGTAACCCAAAATACAGCGCAGTAGCAAAACACAGCAAACGTCACACATCTAGCCGCCACCGTGGTCCGTTTGCCACCCGTGTCTTACACCACGTGACACATAAACGTATCTACACAATACTCGGCAATGTGAAACAACAAAACGTGGCAGAAGGACTGAGAAGATGGGGCACGTGTGAAATATAACACAGCATACATTTCCCTCCACCTTGTCGTCAGGCAACTATACCGTCTTGTATGTGCGCGTTGCTAGGGAACGGTTGCTAGGCAACTACTCCATCGTTGTTTAGGCTCCTCTGCTAAATGAGAGAAACAAAACATTACTTCAATGTCATAAAACAGTACAAGATGAGATTGTATAACAATACAGTAGATTAATCTACAGTTTTCCTTCTTCAATGCTGCACCACAAGCAAATAAGTAACGATTGTAACGGTGGACTGCAATCTAAAAGCAAAAATAACATGGTACTAACCAATTATAATATTCTATACAATCACGTGATAAAATATATGAAACATGCCAATAAAACGTTTAACATTCTTATCTGATTTTACTTAATGTATATTGTTTTTGAATAAATGTATAAACTACAAATTGTTATCATTACTCGCTGGATCATCTCATCATCATACCTCGAACATGAGTTTGATGTGTGTTAAAAGATGCAACAAGGAGACAGCAATTATACAAAGTTTCAGCAACCCAAACACTTCGATCAAACATTCACTAAACTACAGTCTGATTTAAATATTGCTCACATTGTCATGTTTTACTGTATATGATGTTACCTCACTTAAAATTGACGTGGAATCTATGGAATGTGTTTATATTTATTGGGATATCTGTTGTGGTTGTGTGTGAATAACTGTACATTACTTTGTGCGCACCCCAAGATAAACGCTTAATACAGAGGGGAGGAATGAGTAAATAGACGGATTAATGGATTAACGATTAATTAAATGAGACTAAATTGCTTCCACGTGATTGTTTTCTATTATCAATATTAAAAACATCCAAACGCAGGTCTTAATCACCAGCATATGTGGTGGGTATTAATAATCGCTGCGTCTAAAATTAAGTACATGTTTCTCTGGCAAAGTCTGTTGTACTTGGGTCCATGTGTATGGGTAAAAAAAGATAAGATACCGCCATGTCTTTTTCCCATCTTACATATCCCTTCTCTCTTTAATGACGTCATGTGTAAGTGTTATGGTGAATTTTTGCGATAAGGAAAACGAATAAAATTCCTGAGAAGATTGGGTGGGTTAATAACCATTCTGAAAGAAATAGAGAAATGCATTGGTGTCGACATCTTTTTATCTTTATTGAAGTGCTAGGATCCTACCATATTAAGTAGATACAATAAGAAATACGTCATTGGATGCAACATTTCTGAACGCTCTTACGGCAATGATTGCAAGTTCCTGTATTTGATATATAGGCAGCATTTGAAAAGTTCCCAATAATGCCTGGAAAATGGAAGTTTCTCTGTTGCAAATATATAAAGATGGTTTACTTCAAAGGGATGGCCACAGATGTTGGTCATTTGTTTTCATTTGTAGCAACAAAAGTGTCAGAAATATGATGGTTTTTAAGTTAACACTCTCTATTTCTTAAGGAAATGAACGAATGTTTGAATACCTTCTATAAAGGTCATCATAGTTAGCTTCACGACTAAATTCATTTGGGAAGTATGTCATTAAAAAGAATAAGGTCGAATAAGTTAGAGGGAATAGATTGATGGAACATCCCATTTGGAATTCCCTTGCAGGAACACAATGACCTAGCGAATCTAAACATTCACCTGATCTTATATTATCGTCTGAAATGACCACGGTTACAGATTGACTTGTGACCAATTTGACAGATTTTGGTGTATATATATGGTTGCTACATGAGCAAGTATAAATGACGAACGTATGCTGGATGAATAAATCATGAGAGATGGCAACTCGATAGACATACACATAGGATCATCAATCACTTCTGATATATCGTCTGCTTTTTCCCGATCATCTTTCTACTCAGCGCTCTGCATATGCTCAAATAAATTCCAAACTCCACTCAAACTTTCATTTTTTGAGGATTAATGCTGGGCTTTGATGTATGCTGTCATTATGGCAAGAACATGTGTTTACTTGTCCAGAATCCTAGAATTATGAAGAACTAACCCCGTTGTGATGGTGTGTAAATTTATTAGGGGTGGCAATCTTAGAGATAGCTTTGGATTCATCATGGGAAATTCCCTGTTGTTGTTGTTTGTATTACGCCATCTTAGCTTTCAACTGATAATCCCATTACTAAGCTACAAGATATTTAGGTTGCTCCATGATCTAAAGCGAATCAGAGGCGACAGTGATATGGCAAACATATTTGCAGGGGTTTCTTTTACCTGAATACATGGGACTCTGCCAAACACCTCACATACTACTACTAACAAACGAGGAGCAGCTTCTGTTTCAGTAATAATGGATTCCATACCAGATCATAAGCCTTCTCTGGGATTGCTCTATAAACATACAAACACGAACTTTCTTCTGTCTTTCCAATCACTGGCTCATAACCTCTATGGCCAAAATATAACCTTTACATTTGGAAGATTCTTCCTGCGCTTTGCCACTGAACATACTTTGCTTATTTCTCATAACCATGATCAGAAACAAAAACACGTGCCTCACACTACCACGGCATTTTCTAAGTCAATGAACTGAGGATTCAAAACAATTATTACCAACGAAGTTCTCTTTCTGAACCCCTGTGTAATACAAGTCAAAACACCCATCACTACTCATCATATAAATTTAGACATTGTGAAACACAATCAAATTCTTCTTGCTTCTTGCTGGAATAACGGATTATCTCATGACGAAGGTTAATCGAAGAATTTCTAGGTGAAACTAAGCTTCTGTAGGAGCTGATATGTATATAGTGCGGATTATAGATGACATAGTTAACCTCTATCATGATATAAAGACTAAATAGTTATTAAAGTGTTGTTGCTGTCATTGTCTGTCAGCATTGCTATCTGGTTGTTCAGACTTTTCTTACTTTTACTGACCCCAGAAACCTAGCCTCGTGTATCTCTCCAAACACTAAGGGATGGATCATTGTTTTCCAGATACATCTACCTTTACATGTAACTTCATCCTGCGCATCAACCTCTTGTGTTAGTATCCCCTCCCATATAGCGTACACACCTTCTGGAGGAGCAAGTGGACATTGGAGAATGGGGTGTGCTTGACTTTTTATACAATTATTTTCAACGCCCAAAACTACAAACTGTAGTATGTATGTATTCTTTATTTGCGTCTATTCATTTAGACAGTAGTATGCGACATGATACCAAACAATCTAAAACTTATCTCTCACGAAATTCACTATATGGTTAATGATTATTCATATATTCTGGCAACTCATTAGTTTAATGAGTGTCATCTTTTCCATGCTAAGAAACACAGGTATATGCCCAGGATGTGACTTATAGATTCACTGCTATATATGATCAGCTGTTCCCAGGCCATTTGACTCCCTTTGTCTGAAGGACTGTAGAGACAAGACACAGGATGCCAGAAACAGATGCGTGGAACAGTGATTACAAGATGCCAACTAGATAACCAACAACACAAAGTCCTATATTTTTAGGTCACTCAATCCA